TTGCATACAGTTGCTTTTCTGCAGTGGTATCAGGTAATGATTTCCCTTTAAGAGGACCATTTTTGTCAATCCTTTCTCCCCCTTATTGAAAGATTTTCCCCCTTCCCCGCCCCCGAAGTAACAGGCAACCTTGTTAAAGTACTAGGAATCATCTGAATTTGGACTTCCAATCCACAAATAGTTTAGTTAGATTACCCCAACAGAGACTGCAGCTACCTCCATGCCCACAGAAACTTGCTTTTGGAAGTTAAGTGAATGACTTTAACCTTATCAATTGTTAAACAAAAATATAGACTATATGGTTACAACTAATATAAGAGCTATCTGGAAAGTGGAAAAAATATTAAGAGCATAAAGCTTCAAGGTAAAAACGGCCCCTGAAACCAATCAGGAGCTCACTGTATAAATAGAACCATAGTAGAATCCTTAATTAGAAACCTAATATCACTTTCTGTGCCCACACTGAAATTGAATAAATGTAAGCATTCAACATTAATAGAGAGTTCTGCCAGGAATTGGAGTTAGGCCATCTAAAAGCCTGCATTAAAGGTATATTTCTTTTAACTAAAAGGCTTATGGATCCATAACACCTAAAATCAGATCCTCTGTGTTCTATAAAATATCGGCGGCTCTCTTGAAATAAGCATGTAGAGTGAGCTAGCTGTGTGCTCTCTATTGACTTATCAGGCACCCACACAAGAGGCTGGATCAGGTACTCTTAATTACCAGCAAGGGCACTATCTCTATAAAATCTACTAATCTGATGTAATATACAAAATGCTTCCAGAAATGTCTATAAAATATAGGTTTAATTTTCTTCCTGATAAATGTGAATATACAAATAACAGGAAACATGTCAGAAATGTTATTTTCAAGTTCAAAACTTCTAACAATCTACTTGTCTAAATTTTATTAACCTGCATACATAATTCTGAGTTAAACTGTGTAAAGCATTAATCTTTGTAGTGTCTTATAGCTGTAACACAAGAAAAAGGAAATACAGTATGGTTTTCTAACTTTTCAAGTCAATTTTTAGAAATATTCATTCAGAGAACCACCAACGTCTGCTGAGATCCACGCCATGTTGGAACTTAGGACACTGGGAAACCAAGCAAGCAGCCTGCCTTCCTGCTAAGCAATAGTGAGCCTATTGGTGCCCAGCCTAGAGTCAATCATCCCACTTCCCCTACTCCCTTCCCCTGCCCCCCATTAGCAAATGGGAACCAGAAATCTGAGCATCTCTTGGGAAGTTGACCATAGCAAATAAGGGGGAGTTCCTTCTACCATCGTTTTGAAGGCAAATATTTTTATTACTATTTTGCTTTATTCTGATTAATGGTATTGCTCAAATCAATATTCTGTTTTGATAGATTCTATAATGTTCTTTTTCATTTTATTTTGATATATGTGATTGAAAGAACAACTATTGTAAAGATAACTAAATATACTGTGATACTTATTACTGTTATCCCAGTAACCTGCTGTGAAATTCTGTACCAATTTCACTACATGGTCTCAGTTGGCTTTATTCTGTCTTGTTTTGTTGTATTTTACTACTTTCAAAATAAAAAAAGAAATATTCACTCAAAAATATTTATTAAGTCAGAACTTTTCTGCACAATAGAGACAAAGAAGTGAAACAAATGGAAAATTGGAAATTTATTCCCCAGATACCCTCCCAGGCCTATGGGAATTTATACTGGACCTGTAGCAGCATGACTGCAGAGTCAAAAATAGAATGTGTACATTTTCAGGTTTTTGGTAAATAGCACAAAAATGCCCCTTTAGAAAGCCTGAGTCAATGCACCTTAAGCAGTGCACTATCTGCACTTTGCCAATGGATGTACCCTCACCAGCCCTGGGTGTTTTTGCTGGATGATTTTTAGTGTGAAAGGTGAAAACAGTATTATATGATTATATCATTTGCATGTAATACAGATAGTTGTAGATAAATTTAGCTATTTGAAGAATCAGACAAAAGTTGGATTGGATTTAAAGATTTATACTGTTAATTTCATCCTTATTGTCTTGGGTTTTAGAAGCTTGTTTCTGGCTGAAAAAGTGGCGTTCCCTTGGTGAAACACCTCTGGATTATAGTAAGAGGAACTTCTATTATGGTTAAGAACTAAAATATCTCCCCAATGCTCCTGTTTCTGAAATGTGGTTAGGTTATGCGGGTACTGTACGCATCAGTAGGTTCATGATAATAGCTGACTTGCTGTTAGGTGGCGAGGCCTGGTTGGAGGTGTGCCTCTGGGGTGAGGCCTGGAAGGGTATACTCTTGCCTTGACTTCTCTCTTCCCTTGCTGCTTCCTGGCTGCCATAGGTTGAACACCTTTCCTCTGCCATGCCATTTCTCTCTTGGAGCCAGCCAACCATGGGCTGAATCCTCTGAAAACTATCAGTCAAATTAATCTCTCCTCTTTCAAGCTGCAGTTGTCAAGTATTGTGTCCAGCAACAGGAAAGTGACTAGTACAACCTCTGTGTATGCCAAGCATTTGTGATGCTTGGTTTCTTACATTGTTCATTCTTGCTCCATTTGTCCTGTAGCCCATCTTTACAATTAAATTCATGAGAAATTATTTGGTCATAAGTGACAGAAACTAACTGTCTACCTTAGATAAAGGAAAAGAAAATGTGTTGACTCAACTGCGAAATCAAGAAATAGATTTAACATAGCTGAATCAAGAAGCTGCACCAATGACATATCAAGTCTCTTCCTCTGTCTGTCTGTCTATCTCCGTCTCTCCTTTCCTCTACTTTACTCTCTTATTTGTGTTTATTGTTTTTCATGTTTTCCTAGCAGCCTTTTCTGCTGGTTCCCACAGATCTAGTCTAAGGAAAACTCTAACCTGCGTTAGTGTAGTGCCATCTTTGAACCACTGAATTTGCCCAATGTGGGCCATCTGTGGGTGTGAGGAACATGAGGTAGGAAGGGGTTCTAGCTGGATTAATAGCTTTTCTTACTTTGATTATGTGGAGTGGGGAAGAATTCACCAAAAAAAAAGCAGAAGACAAGGGTGAGAAAACCCTTGTTAGACAGACAAAAACTACAGTCACCACTGTCCACTAAAATTCCCAACTTTGTCTTTTTGTTGTGCTCAGTTGTGGTTTATACATACCACAAACTATGCTACCATGTTGGCCTTTATTCTCTGGCTGTAACACATTTATGTCCCTTTCAGCTTGGGCTGCCTTTAAAGGTCATCCATTGTGTAATATTCCTTCCAAAATCAACTTTCCCAGCTTCATAGCTGAAGTTTATAATTTATATCCTTTTTATTCTGCTCAGTAATAAAAAATTAGAGTATGAGATACAACTTTGATGAATCAGCAGTTTCTAAGGCTTCTACATGTTCATTCCTCATGAAACATCTGCAGGAAGTCTGAGGCGGCATCTGGGAAAATGTCAAGGGACAGGACTAGGTATGTTCAGGGTTATGAGTAGCTAATTTAGCCATGGGAGCTGAGTAGGGTACAGGTGAGAGGGAAAACGAGTAGTAGGAGGAGGAGGGGTCCTCTGGAATTGAGCTTCCCTGCAGGTAGCTCAGCTTGTCTCTCCCACAGCCGCCCCAGGAGGACCCAGAGCACTCTGCCCTTAGCTCCCCAGCTGAGGCCGACATCCAAAGGCCACCTCCAAGTTGCTCTCCACTTTCAGTGTTCCCTCAAAATATTTCTTCCCTAGGACTCCTGCTCAGCCACGCTGGCTAGGCAGGTGACAGGAAGCAGGTTTGAGGGACCTCATTCTAAGAAAGATTTGTCTGGCCCTTGAAAATAAATGTTATTATAGCATTTAGCAGAATGTTTTTTTACCATTTTAGCTTTTTAATATATTGTCTTGACTTTGTTATTATTTTGTCTAGTCCCCCCACTCTTCTTATCCTTTATCCTTTTAAACTGAAAATAAGAAGCACAGTCCCCTGTAAAACAGCACCCCAAACGAAGGGAGTCACGTGCCCCTTTGTTGGTTTCCTTTCTTCTCAACAGCCACAATTCCCCTATCTATTAGGCCTTTCTGGCCACAATGCAGGGCTTTTTAGCATCTTCCACTCAGTCATTTAGTCAACAAATACAGGTGTATTTACAAGGTACTAGGGCTGGGATTCAGAGTGCAGATTTTAAAGACCACTTCTAGAGAAGACCAATAATCTAATTACTTATATCTTTAAAGTGTTAACATGAGATACAGATAGGTTAAATAACATCTAAAATCACAGACCTGGTAGAAAGTATTTATCTCAGAGTTTTGTTTAAGTCTCCTGCCCTTTTCTTGCCTTAACAGTGCAGCCCAGTGGTGGTGAACCCAGGCATGGTGCTGCAGCCATTTGTTTGCATCCCTGAAAGCTCTGAAAAGGTCGGCCTCACTGGTGCAGCCTCTTTAAACACACTAGGGCCACTTGTATTTAACAAGAGCCAAGATCTTCAACCCGTGCTTCTCTCCAGCTATTCTGCCTGCTTTCTGACAGTGAATGCTCAGTCTTCCTAACTGGATTGGGCAAATCTACAAGGGTTCTATCTACAAATAAAATAGTGCCTAGAAGTTTACTAAGATAGCACATTGCATATTGCACGTTGACATGTTTTATAAAGGAAACAATTTAAAGAAATAGTATTTTTAAAACTTAGATTAAGGTCAATAGGAAGACCATTAGATTAGGAATTTGTAGACCTAAATGTAATTCTCAGTTCTATGACTGACAAACTATATTAGGTAAGTTATTTCTGCATCACAAGACCTTCATTGCAAAAAGAGATATTTAAATTAGATGCTTTCCAATATTCCTTTTAGTTCTCAAATTCCATGGTCTACATAAATACTGTATGAAACTATTTATTTTTCACTTTCCTTTTTGCCTCATAAAAGAGACTATCAGGTTTTTTTCATTGATGGTACCTGGTGAAAAGCTCCAGGACTGAAAGAATCATTTTCTTCAGCTGGTGCGCTATCAGGCACAGGCTTTAATTGCCCTATGAAAAATTCTTGACTGCAAAAACAGGCTGGTCTCTAAGCCCTTTTATTAATCAAGATTCTCCAGAGAAATAGAACTGATACAGACAGTCCCTCACTTGTAGCTTGTGATGGTTCAACACTGGATTTTTTTCAGCTTTACAACAGAGCAAAAGATATACATACAACCAGTTTTTCACTTTCAGTGTCATGTGCAATAAATCACATGAGATATTCAATACTTTATTATAAAATAGACTTGTATTAGGTAATTTTCCCAATCATGGGGCAATGTAAATGTTTTGAGCATAATTAAGATAGACTAGCTAAGCTATGATGTTTGGTAAGTTAGCTGTATTAAGTTCATTTTTTACATATTTTCAACTTAAAATATGTTCATTGAGATGTAACTCCATTATAGGTTGAGACAATTTTAAATAGATATTTAAGAGGAAATTTATGGGAATTGATTCATATGATGATACAGACGAAAGGTCCAATGATGTACTGCCTGAAAGCTGGAGAGAACCTGCAAAGCCCTTCATATGAGTCCAAGTCCTATGGAACCAGCAGTCATTATTCCCAGTCCAAGGCCAAAGACACGAGGATCAAGGGGTTTCTAGGGTAATTCCTGGAGTGTGAAGGGCCAATAGCGAGAGGCCCAGGTGTCCAAAGTCGGAAGTTGGATGTCCTAGCTCCGTGAGATAGAGGCCTGTTTTCCAGCTTGGTGCTCTACTTCGGCCTCAGTGGAGTGACTGATGCCTCCCCACATGGCAAGCGCAGTCTTCTTTCCTCAGTCCACTGAATCAAGTGCTCAGCCCTGCAGGCACACCCAGAAATCACGTTATACCAGCTCTCTCCTTTGCAAAGTCAATCTGACACAGAAACTTAATCATCACAACTCCTTTCCACTGCCAGTGGCAGAGGTACTCCCTGCCCACCCCACCCAAATGCCCTGCTGACTTTATGCTCCTCCTAAGCAGGAGGGTCTGTGGAATCAGACCCATGCTGGCCCTCTTATAATCTTTCAGATTAATGTGAAGAAGGAAAAAGTGGGTTTTTTACTCAGTCGGTCTGCACCTGCACGTCTTCCTCTTCCTGAGGAATTAGGGAGTACGCTGACAAAGCTCTGCAGGCCACAGGAGTCGCCCGGCATGTTGCTGCTTTTTCCTTCCTGGCAGAGCAACCCTAACCCTTTGGCTCAGGTCTCTCATGCTTTCTTTCTTAGCAATGGTATTTTTAAAATTAGAAACTAGATGTTTTTGGACCACTGTCTTGATCTAGTAATTTCAGGTGCTATGATCTAGATATGTTTTGTTCCCCACAAAAGTCAATGTGTGGAGGGTTGGTAGCCAGTGTGACGTGTTGAAAGGTAGTGGGACCTTTTGAAAAGGTGAAGGGTTACTGGAGTATGATTACCCTTGTGGAGAAATTAATGTTGACGTCAGGGAGTAGATCAAGTCTTGTAACTGTTGATTAGTTGTTATGAGAGTTGATTGTTATAAAAGAGTGACCCAGGACCTTTCTCTGTCTCTTGTTTGTCTCTTGATCTGTAGCCTCTCTGTATGTGCCTGATTTCCTTTCCACTTCTCTGTAATGTTGAGATGCAGCCAAGGGAGTTCTGAGATACTTTACAGCCATTAGCAAAATAAAGCTGTTTTCTCCATCAGTTTCCCAAGCTCAGGTGTTTTGTTATAGCAACACCAGTCTAAGACACCATGTAAATTAGCATTCTACTTTAAACATAACATAGAATAATTAAATTAACCCAGAATTTACCGGACAAATGTGAACATACCTGTGTTCAGCAAATATATAGTCAACTGAAAAAAGAAAGCCACCACTCCACCATTTGTAAAACATATCTCTTAGGCTTTTAAAATGTAGATGCTGACCAGAAAGGTGAATTGATTTTAGGTACAGAAAGAACTGAAGTGTGAGAGATGGTTTGCCTGGGGTCCTGAGAGTCAGACTTCAAAGCTCTGAATTAGACTTCATTATTCTTACCTGCTGTCACCTCTCCCAGCTCCACTGGCTTCTCATATATTATATACCTTTCATATGACCTTGGTCTTCCAAAACAGAGTACACAGACCCTTATTTTAGTAGGCCAAAATAGGTCCTTCAACATGGGCAGTTCCTTCAGGACCCCACTTTCCCGCCCACCCTTGGGAGCTAACCTAAGAATCTCAGCATAAGGAGAGCGGTGGACTTGAGGGCATCTCTTCCTGCCCAGATACCTGAGTATACTTTGGCTTCCCTTTGGTCCCTACAGAGTTCTTCTGCATGCTGTTTCCTCTGCCTGGAAGCCCAGTCCTTGCCCCAGCCTGTGCACTCCAACTTAACCTCCAGATCTCAGGTTAGATGTCATTACCTGCCCTGACACGTTGCATCTAGGCAGATCCTCTGTAAAACCTTTGGCTTATACCTCTGATAACATGCAGTACTTCACTGTGCTTTATCTAACTCAAACATCTGAGTCCTTAAGATACAGAATCCTAAAAATGGAAAAGCACCCCAAGTAAATAGTGCTTTTAACCAAAAAAATTAATTCTTGCAGCAGTACTTGCTCAGGAGGCTGCTGAAAAATAGTGGAGTTATTTCTATCAGAAATTGGTGGGCTCCCACTGTGATTAAGGTGATAACCGATAATTAACAACCAAATTATTTCCTGGCTTCACGGACCAGGTAGTAAAGGAAAAGCCAGCAGATGCCAATTATAAAAACTATCAGATTTGCTTACACATTCCTTGCAAATAATCAAAACACAGCTGTTTAGTCTCTGGCTGGGTGTCTGGTTCTCTCTCTCCCACTTACAATTGTTTCAGTTGTCAGTTACAGCTAGTGAGTCACAACTGCCCAGAGATAAGAGTCCTGCTAGGACAAACACAAGTGTCATCCTGGGAATACTTATCACGCCTTTCCCCCACCACAGATATTCCACTTGGCTCTCTCCGCCTGATGTTTCAGCACCTCAAAAGTTTCAGATATAGAATGCAATTCACATTTACCTCCTGGGAGTTTTGATTGTCGTTGGGGGCTTCTGAATCTTACAGCAACAGAGGAAAATCATCATGAGGACCAGAGGTCACTGCACTGTCAACAAAGGTTACTATGAAAAGATCTTGCTTGGTGGTGAGAAGAAAATGGTGGAGTAACCAGTGATATAATGTAATAGGGAGAGTGTTGGAGGGAAGGTAGGAGAGTACAAAAAGAGAAAGGGCATAACATCCCTCAAAATATACACTGGCATGGATGGCCGTGAAGACATTACACAGAATGAAAGAAGCCAGTCACAAAAAGCCTTATATATCTATCATTATCTCCTTTATGTGAGATGCTCAAAATAAACAAATCCATGAAGACAGAAAACAAATTAGTAGTTCCCAGGACTAGAGAGGGGAGAATGGTGAGTGACTACTAGTGAGTTTTGGTTTCTTTTAAGGGAATTGGAAATGTTCTAAAATTTAATTGTTATGATGGTTTAAAACCGTATCAAAATTTTTTTAAAAAGCACCAAATTGCACATTGCAAGGGGGTGAATTGTATGATACATGAATTTTATACCAGCAAAGCTGTCTAAAAATATTCTGGGATTTTGAGCTCTTTTAAAAAAATAAATATTTGTTAATTTAATTTGTTTCCATAGTATTTATTCTAAAAGTCAGTTGCTGAGAAAAAATTAAAGATAACTGTATTTTAGTTTTTCTCAGAGTTAGACTTTGGACTTGCGCTTTGTTTTTGGGCACCCACAGTGTGACAGCCAGTGGCACAAACTGCCTTTTCAGCCCTTAGCATGAAATGATTTAATTTCTCAGTGTCTAATCCAAGAAATCATGTGTCTGCAATGCTCTGGGTTCTGTGGAGATAGTGGTAACTCTCCAGACAAAATCCCTGACTCTCAGAGCTTGCACCTCAATAAAAGAGGGGCAAACAGAGGTAGAATGTGTCAGGCATCCAACTAACTTGAAGGTGTGGCCAGCAGCGTTTACAGCATGCTCTGGAATGGCATGAGTTGGGTTTGGCTCATCCACAGTTGTAACCCAGTGCAATGTGAAGTGGAGTGGATGGAAGTCACAAGGTGAACAAAATAGTAGAAAAGTAGTGTTCAGGCTGATTATTTAGCAGTATGTAAATAATAATAATAGCATGATAAACCATTAAATAATAGCATTCTATAACATAAGAAACTATATAAAGCAAAGAAGACGTACTTCTCTTGGTCCTTGAGCTAAGACCTCATACAGAACCCAAGCATCAGCCAGCAACCGCAGGGACTACTCTAAGCTAGAGACCAATATACTTGCATGGAGTAGGGAATGAATTGGGATGCTACTTCAGATAGCTAGTCAGGGAGAAGGCCAAGATGATGATATCTGAGCTGAGTTATACATGCTCAAACTCATTTTTGTGGTTATTAGAGAAAGACTTCCAGGCAAGAGAAATGTAAGTATAAAGACTTTAGGCTGACATAAATTTGAGTGTTTGGAGAACAGGAAAAAAATGCTCTTGTTTCTGGAGCATGGTGTGGTGATAGAAAAGAGGTCAGAGAAATAGCCAAGTGTCAAAATTTATTCTAAATGTCAGGGATCAGTTCATTCCAGAAAGACAACTATATGGGTAGATTTTGGAGTGGAAATGTGAAAAATCTTCTAAAATAAGCGAAATTTCCCTGTGAATATGAGAAGGAACAGAGAGACACAAGAGAATTGAGGAGTAAGTCTTTTCTCAGGGAGCAGTCTCATGGATCATCTGGTTTTTCATCTCCTCTAGAGATCTGTAACTCTATGTTCCTCATCATTTGATTTATATCTTGAGATGTAGTTTATTTTTCTTTTAACTCTAAAGACCCTCAAATGTACAAGGAGCCTGGAGCTACCTAAATATATTTTGTTTCCAACTTGCTAGAATCTTTTGGTCTTCCAAGTTCTTTAGATAAAGTAACTCATAAATATTTAAAATGATATCCCAGTGAATTTTGGATGCACCTAACAGCTTTATCTGACTTTGTGTTAAAATTCACGAGGTAATTTTCCTGACAGGGAAGAAAGGGGAGAAAAAGGGAGAAAGAAATTGATGATGTGCGCATGTTGAAAAATACAGACAATAGTGTGGGATCAGCCTGCCTGGATTTGGAACTAGTATTGCCTTGTACTGGTTGTGCAACCTCGCTTAGGTTATTTAACTTCTCTGTACCTCATTTTCCATTGTGAAAAATGGAGCCAGTAGTGGTCCTATTTAATGGTGTCGCTGGGACAGCTGACTGAGTATATTATGTCGCTACATGTGGCAACACTCCAAGTCCTTTGGAGCCCTTTCTTTGCTCTAGATATTGCTGCAGTGAGTAATTGTCTTCAGGCTTTGACCAGCTTCACTTACAAACAACCTGATGGTGCCTCACTTCTGACCTCCTCGCACCTACTGCTTTCTGCCCCAGTGCTTCTCTGATACCATGACGTAGGAATACTTATGCAAACCTCCACCCGGAACTCCAGAGTTCTAGATGTGCATGATCTAGACATGCAAGGAAATTAAAGCTATGAGCCTCATCTGTGAGGAAAAGTAGTTGTGGACATACAGATGCCCCCATTTTCCTTTGGGCTAATAGTTCTGAGAAACATTTTTGTAAGGCTTCTTGCCAAGCACCAGTTGTCATGGTGGTAGCCTATCTATTAAACCATCCTTGCATTACTTAGATTTTCTTCCTTCTGTATTTCATTGCCTCTTGTCCCTTATACTGTTATCACTGACTCCTTAGTTACTAGCTGTTTCCTCCACTGTCTCGACTGTTCCTAGGTTTTCCTGGTGGCAAAGGGCACA